CTTCCACCATCAAAGGCACATGGCTGGGTCTCACCCAGCAAATATAAAGGTAAACCCTATCTGCAGCAACACCTACTTGTCCAAAAGCTACATACAATTCTCACCTGCCTTTACTGTTTGTAACACAAGATGATGATATATGATGCTTACTTTAAAATATTGTAATTGAGTTCTTAAATTGATTGTTTTGTGAGTTTTAATGTCGTTTCGAGTGTTAAATATTTACTTAAATTCAATATGAATCTATGAAATTAGTCTACTTTAAACGTTCAACTTGTTTAAATTGACCTCTGTGTTAGATTTGTATTGTTATTTAATGTCTAAACTGATGATTACGCTAACAAAAGAATGATTGATATCATACCGATATTCTTAGGGTTCAATTAGAATGATTTAAAATTTTGTGAGTAATGTAGAATGTGTCATAGTTTGAGGATATTTAATGTAATTATGCCATAGATTTGAAAGCTGCCGATGGTGCTGGAGAAATGGGGGAATGTCCATATATTCCACTCTTGAAAGGGAAAGTTCAGAGCCATAATTAAGAAATACCCACTTCCATAATGGGAAAATTTTATAATTCATTTTGTTCTATGCCCACCTTGTTTCATTATTCTTAGTACAACAAATAACTAAAGCAGTTCCATTAGGTAACTTTTTTAATACCAAAGATACCACTCATAGAAAAAATGTGATGCATATAACATATAAAACCCTAAATTTATTATAAATCTTGATTTTTATTCAAGTCTGATTATTAGAGATGGAAACGAGCTAGGTTAGATAGATCTTAAGTCATCCGATCTTATTCGAAAAGTATATCTCCTCTATCTGAGTACAACTCGACTTAAGTTTAGAGAGATCTCATTCGACTCGAAACAAACCTGTATTTTGAGGTAAAAATATGTATCCAACACGAATTGATTTGACATGTTTTTTTAAAAAAAACTTATTTTTGTTCGTAAAAAAGTGATCTACTAGGAAAGAAATTATAGAAAGATATATCATGGCAATTACTCTTAAATATATAGAATAAAATTATATTATTATCTCGAGTCGATTTGAGCTGAAGATTTTTCAGGGTAAACCTAAACTCAATCCGACTTAATCTCACATTTTATAAAATCCGACTTGATCCAAACTTTATTGTTTTTATAAAAGAAGTTACCCTATAAAATTAGATCGAAACATAATCCATTAAATTCAAACCAAATTATCACCCTTAAATAGAATAAATGAGAACAAAAATATTTTACTTTGATGATTTAAGCAACCTCTAATTTTAAATTAAATTAAATTACAATGAATATTGAATACCGAAAGAAGTATTATTTACGTTAGTTATAGTATGATTGTGATGTTGATCAAGAAAGTAGTTAGAATGAATAGTTAGAGGAAACAGGAAGCATGCATGGATTTGGTGAAATAAAAGAAGAGAAGCTTGTAGGGTACTTTACGCAAGTATCAAATGGATGCTAAAGGGAGATTGATTGAGGGAATGTAGCATTGTCCGGATTTTACATTTGTCAAAATGATGTCTGACATCATTTTTTTTATCATTTAATTAATCAAAAGCATATATACTTTAAGCGCCGTATGGGGGTGCTTTTGCGTTTTTCATGCGTTCATATGAGGTTGTTGTTAAGCACTCACTGGCTGATGCTCCCTTTCATTATATTAAACAACTCTTCTCCTTTTCCAAAGCTAAACCGGCAAAGGGTAGGGGACCAGGCCAGACCAGCTGTTCGAGGTCCAGTCAAGATAATGGATGGAAAATCACTGTGCCATGCGATGTTAATAATCTATCATCTTCAACCCTTAAACATTGTATTATTATTTACAGAAAAGAGTGAAACTTTTAGATCTGGTTAAAGAGGCTTGAATATATTTTTAGGGTTTTAATAAAAATTGACTTACTCAAACCCAACTTCTCTTTTAAGAGTTCTAAGACAACTTTTATTTTTTATTCTATGAGTCCTACTTTACAACATCTCATAAGATTCCTTCCACAACAAAACCCTAGCAATAGAATGCAAGGAAACTAACGTTTTTGTTCTACTAAACCAAATCCCAAGTGCATTGGAAAGAAACGGACATGAAATTGAATGATTATATATATATATATATATATTGTTTTTCCCATATTATTGGAAAAGAGTAATGGGATATAAATCCCAACATGAGTGAGCTAAGGTTTTAGGTTTCAACGTACAAAAATTTCATTTTTAAATATATGGATTTTTGTTGGCGACAGCCAGCCTACGAGGGTTTAAAAATAATGTGGCTGCTTATGCTTTATTTTTGGATGTGTAACATGCAATCCACTTTTACTTTGGTTATGGTTGGCTGCTCTTTACCTTAGCAGCCTCCATATTTAACAAATTTCATCTTTCCAAAGGTCTTAGAACAAGAAAAAAAAACATGACATTCAAAAGCTTTTGATATTAATATCATGATGAATTTCCAGTGTATATATTCGGGGGGTGGGGGATTTTCTTGACCAAGCCATTTGACATGGGAAGAGCAGATTCATTTCATCAGAACAACTTGAAAATAGATAAGAGAGAGTTTTTGGGGTGCAATTGGTAAAGACTAAAGGGTATAGTTTGAATAAATGTGGTATGTCTTGGCTAGATTTGTATGGACTTCTGGGGTTGATCAAAAGAGAGATAGTCTTTAGACTTCTTTATCTTCAAAGTCTGAATAACGGGATTAAAATATTAGGGAGTGACCAATAAAATAATATATCCCACATTTTATTCCAAAACCACTCTCCTTTCCCTTCTATATAAAGCCCCTCTGTCATTCTCCACTGCTTCCCACACCAAACCAAAAACTAGACATGTTTCACTAGTCTGGTTTTCAAACATTTCTGGGTATTTGATTCCAGCTTCAACAAGCTGTTTTGATGGGGGTTTTAGGGTAAGGGAGATGACAGAAGAGAGTGAGCACCCAGGGTGCTTTCTTGCATGCTTTCGCCATTTTTCATGCTTGAAGCTCTGAGTGCTCACTCTCTATCTGTCATCCACTTCTCTCTCTTTCTCTCTTTTTCTATTTACAATTTTATGCATGCAATGATTTTTGTGTTTAGTTTGCATGAATTTACCGCCCAACATAAAATCTATTTTGGAGTACTTTGTATCAACTCTTTCATTGTTATGGGCGTACTTGGCCTGTACTTTTGCGGTCAAACAAAACCTAAAGGTTGATATGACACTGATTTTGTCCATTGAATTTATTTTTCTATTTCTAATCTTATTTCATTGAAGCATCAGATCTATAGATATACACTTTGAAGCTTCCATGGAGGTCTTAAGAGAGCCGTGCAGCAAAAATCTCCAAGCCAATGATCCATAAACATGAGCTCGGTATCTGAAACAGAAATGTTCTTGATTTCTAAACTCTTATCCGACAAAACCAACAATTCCATCAAGCAGAAAAGACCATGAAATCTCCTGAAACCTATATGATGTTTGACATATATATATGTTCAATTGATCCAGCATAGAAACAGAAGATGGAAGTTTCTCATGCATACCTAGAAAACCAAGGAGAAAGAAGATGAATCTCCATTTCTTTTCTTTTGAATGTTTCTTTCTTCACTTGCTGTAAAAGTGTTTCAGTTGTGGTCCTGTCAGTCAAGGTTTCATACTTTGCTTGGTGTATTCAATAATATTATATATATATATATATATATATTGCCCTTGCATGCTTAGCAGCAGAAAAGGAAAGCAAAGAGTAATATAGTAACATTTTTCCTTTCTACTTGTTTAGTTTGAGTTTAATATCACTCACTCTTTCATCTTTACATGTTGTTATCTGGTTAGGAAAATCTAAGAAATGTAAAAGAACTCGCCAGATTGTGTCTTTGAGTACTGTGTAATAACACAGCAAGATTCGTCTCATTGCAGGGAGAAGGAAAGAAATGTATGTGGATTTATATTGTATTTAGTTATGATTCATTAATTGTGTATTTGGATAAGTGGTGATGTATATAGGTTTAAGTTTCAATTATGCGATGTAATATTTTTTTAGTTTTACATATATTTAAGATTGTTGAATAATTAAAAAATAATGGTTGGAATTAACTCATTGTTTTTTTTAAGTGACTTCTCATTTTCTGCTGTTAATCTTATAATCTATTTTTATTCTTTCAACATCCTAAATTTGTGTAAAATACTTTTAGTTTTACATTGTGTAATAATATCTTTTATTTAGATAAACTATAAATTTTTTCACTAAATCTTAGATCATAATTTATCTTGAGCATTAAATTTTAATTCTTTTAATTTAATTATAATTTTTTTTAATTATTCATTTTTTATTATTCTAATATTAAAGTAAAAAGGTAATGAAATGAACGATTTTGTGCCGACATTGAATGTATTTTACTTAGATTTTTAATGTATTTTTTATTAAAATTATGTTTTCGTCACTAAAATTTTATAAATTTATCTCACCTAAAATTTTAGAAGTTCACCTCCTAACATCGCGTCTGTCCTGATAGAAACCACTAATTGGTTATATCATTTTTTTCGTTTCTTTTTATTTTACTTTTTCTTCTCTTCTCCATAGAAATGAATTTTTAAAATTTCATTTTTATGTCACGTCGGTATTCAAACTGTTAATCACACTTTTTTCAACACATAAGACATTGACGAATAGTTCTCTATCACTCTGTCAATTTAAACTTTCTTAAAATATTTTTAAAATTCATGAAATTCAATCCAAAACTTAAAAAAAAACGACAATGATCTATAATATCCATCGTTTGTTCAATGTAGAACCAAGACATATCCCATCTTCTCATTCTCTACCTTTTCACTAGGATTTGAAAGATGCTTCACAATCGATAAATCAAAAAAATCTGAAATCAATGTCTTTTACCAAAAATAAAATTAAAAAAAATTAAGATCTTTTTATAAATTTTTAAAAGTAAATACTCATTCATAACATCATTACTTATTTAACGATATAATAATAAAAAATAAGCATAATTAAGTAGATAAAACTAAACCCTTTTTTATTGTAACAAGGAGGGGAAAGGGTACAATTTTACTACATCTGCAAAAATGAATTCAGTGCTAATATATAAAGTACTTGTTTTAAAAGTGAAAACAGGAAGAAGAAAAAAACAATGAATAAAATGAAATCCTATGTGATAGATAATTCAATCTATCTGGAAATACATGATATTTAATGCTGAAGTTGGGATATGGTCCTCGAAACTGTTCTCTGGAAACCAAGAGCTGATCAAGCTACGAGACTTATCGGTTGGACTTCCTTTCACCCATTTATCTACCAATCTAAAACCATACCGAGATGCGGCTGAAAGTAAAGATGGTTCATCGACTCGTCGAAAGATATGACAGAGGATAAGTGCAGGTGCTTGGCCTTCCTCGGCACTTCTGTTGGACGAAATCAACTCTCTTGCTGTTGAAAACAAAGGTAAAATAGCTTCAGGAATGTAAGTGACATCTGCTCCGATGATGAGTTCAAAGCCTTCATTATCCATGGCTTTGATGGCATTGATATCATCTCTGTCTCCCCATTCGAGTTTCTTTATAACAAGTTTATTCACAAATGGTGGTCTAAGGTTTGATGTGATATTTTGGTTCAACAGATCGAGTGCTTTCCTGTCTCCATCAGAGGCGACCCCAATGCTTGCCGACCCAGATGCAACCATCGAACAGATGCCTCCACAGCCAGACCCCAATTCCAAAACCCTTTTCCCTGCAACAATACTTGGATTTCTAGCGAGGATGCCAGCCATCAAACGAGCCGATTCCCACAACATCAAGCCAGTTGATTTGCAGGTGTGTTGGTTCTCTTTGGATAGTACGTTGATCTTGAAATCACATCCACCGAGCTCAATCTTAATAACCTGAGGGAAGCATAAAAGACAGAACAACTTGATGTATTTGAAGGAAACAGTGAGCAACAAGGATACATCTCTTGTTCAAATATATATATGTGTGTGAATATATCATTCATTCAATCTTCAATAAGTATATAAATATTTACCTCGTTATCATTATTAGTTGGAACTCCAAACATTTCGACCGCCATACCTTCAGACATGTCAACTACAAAATCACTAATGGGCTCTGCATCAGCCTTTGGTTGGCTGTTCCCTTGACAACATAGGTCAGACTTAGTTGGAGCCTCTGAAGCAGGGTTATAGTTTACACTATCTGAAAAGCGAAATACAGCTTGGAACCAACGCCTAAAATAACAGGCAACGCAATTCCTTTAGGGAAAACATAAGGTTCTTCCAAGTAAAGTGAGAAAAAAAATCCTCAAAATAAGGAAGTCAGAATTAATATTTTGTAAGGGGAATGAAAAATGTTCTCTTGCTAAACCATTGATCCCTTACCGATTCATAACTAATTCACGAGCTCGATTCTCAACTTGTTTGCAACACAAACCAAGCTCTTCAGCATCAAGTCCTTGTTCTTTAAATAAACTTGTCAAGAATTCATTAGAAAAATAGTAAGCACGCTGAAAAGCAAAGAGGTAGAGTAAAATCAGTCCCGTTTAAAAGAGAAAATATTAAAACTAAAGCACAAAATGACTCGAACATACAGTGCCATCACCCCTGACATAGAACTTTTCACTGATCTGTTGATCCTTGGTAGAGAACCTTTCCTGTAAATCAAGGTATACATGAAAATGCACATCAGAAGCAGAGTAGCCACCTCGGTAAAGAACAAGATCAAGTTAAGCAATGTGGACTCCGGTAAAAGAGGGAAAACATCACCTATGGCTATTTGAAAACGAAAAACCAAGAATGTTCGCAGATTATCACAAGAAGATACTAACAGATTATAAGATCTCAGCACATTAATTTTACTCAAATGGTGCTAAAAGATATGTGCATAGATCAACCTGAGCAAGGTCACCAACAACATAGTCTCGGAACAGCACCTGACCATTTGGCTGGAAAGATAACAAAAAATTTGAAAATGAAGAAAGTTACCAAGTTTAGTTTTATAAGCAAGGTAGATAAGAAATATTTATAAATATTGCTATTATGCAAAAATATTATCAATGACCTTGAGAACTTTTTTGACATTCTGCAAGACTAAAGGCATCTTCTCTGGTGATACTGCAGATAACACAAAAATCTACTTATAATGTCAGCCATTGTTGATAGAAAAAAAAAAGATACATGAGCACTCATGGCAGATAATGAAATATCCAAATGATTATTCAAATACCATGGTTACAACATCGACAGAGGCAGGAGAAATATGTTCGCTAAGGTCGTCAGTGGTCAGGTCACAGACGAAAGCACTTACACGAGTCTCATTGAAGTCTTTATGTGCCTACAATAATATGGGAAAATAATTCATTCAAGCTGCAATACCTATTCATACTAAATTTTCAAATAATAGGAACTCAGCCTCCTATTATAATATATATATACACACACACCAAGTTGCATCAACTCTTTTTTCTTTCTCTCCCATCGCTTTGTCTACATTTAAAAGCTTAAAAAATTCAGAGTTGTGGCAGAATGACAGAACAACTCTGACTACTAACGTTGAAAGGACCATGCATGTGTTTGAGTAAATGTTAGTGATACAATGTTTGTTCTTATAACCTAAATGAAAAGGTAAACGCCGGGATAACTAAGATAACTAGGTTTAGGTCTACTATATTTGCCGTTAATTGTTGTTAATAGTTTTTTTATCTAATTTGGAACAATTAGGACAAGAAACTAAACCTTAACCAAATTAACTGCGTGTTGTGAAAAGTCACATGCATAAACAAAAGCCTCTGGGTATGTAGCAATTAAAGGTAATACAGCATTTCCAGCACCACAGCCAACCTGATTACCAAGGTCACATTAGTTCTATAATATATAGAAACCTTACATGAGAATTTAAGAACATTAGACAAGAAGGGGAACTACTTAACACACACAATAAGGAACAGTAAAGTCAAGTTCTACCATATATAGTTACCAACATTCAACAAGGTTTGCCACACCATTCACTTCAACAATAAGGGCATCTCGAATAAGATTACCAGACCATTTAGAGGAATAAAATCTCTTATCAAAAAAAAATTAGAGGAATAAAATAAGAATTTATAGGGAAAGCAGAAATGTTAGCACTATTCTCATTTACTAGAACTCAATTAAAACAAGTCCATTTCCAAATAACCTGGCATTAACAGAGAACTTATTGCGGATTCAAACTCAGGAAAATAGTATTAGTGGGCAGTCTATTTATTTACCAAATAGATATTGAACAGATAATATGTAAGTGAAAATGTTAAGTGATTTACCTCCAAAATAACTTTTCTTCCGCTTCCCTGATTTAATAAAAAAAAATTAGTTAAAAAAGGAAACAAAAAACCTTGAAGAATTAAAAAATCAAAAACAAAGAGAAGAAAATAGTTAGCTTCGACTCACAGAGAAGTATTGATCCCATTCCTTGTACAGGTAGTGCCGATCTTTAAAAAACTGAAACAATAGGAATTAAACAATTTCAAAATCACTATACCAAAGAACATAGTAAAATTCATGTAACAGTGGTTCTATATAAGTTGCAGCTTTTAGAAGTGATCCCAAAAAGAACCTTGCTGTTGGTCACAACCATTGCTAGTACAAAGACTAAACCGAAATTTTGTAGCATTCGATCCTCAACCTTAGGTATTTATTATAGCATTTAACATTATTTAACAGCCAGTTCAAAATCCGGGTTTGGGGAGTAGAGGTAGTGCATTTAAGTAATAACACAGCATCTCAACAATGACCTTAGTAGACATAAAAAGGGGTGAAAACAACTTAAAAAACTGCAAGAGGACTAACTTTATCTTGATGCCGCCTGTAGAACTGATCCCAATACTTCTTAGCATCTCTTTCATACTTAGCTTCAAAACAAAAGATCAAATTTAAAGCACCATGTATCGACTCAATGCAGGCCAATAACTGTGAGTAAAAGAGATCTAATTTGAGCACCTATCCAAAAGGGAGAAACTCCAGCGGTAGTGGGTGGGTATATTTGTATCCTCTGCGCTGGTTGTTTCTGTTTCACACCATTTTGCATTTCGGAATCCATTATTGGACCAGCCTTAATGGGAAAAAAAACGGAGAGTTTTGAACTTCCTGAAATATGAATTGTAATTCACAAATCTTAGAAGCGGAGAATTAAGATACCAAACATGTAATAGTGGACTCAGGGATTATCTCATGATTTCTAAAACCAAAAGGAAGAAAAAATAAAAATAAACTACCTGCGTTTAATTCGCGTGAGACCACTAGAGAGCGAGATGTGAAATCGAGAAAGCGAAGAATTAATTAAGGTTTTTGGCCGCTGAAGCTGAATGCTAAAGCAAAACGTTAGGATGGCGCCTAAAACGCATCGTTTTGTACGTTTTTGTTCCTATATTTTGATATTTTCTTATAACTTGCAAATTTATTAAATCGAATTAATTAGCGCATGTGAAGGGAGAAATGTTATGTAAAAATAATATTTTTTTTCTAAAACTATTCAATATATAATTATCGGTGAACTATTAAAGAATTTATATATTAAATTATCGGTTTTATGTTTGAATTTTAAATAAAAATTTAAATTATTTTATTTTGAGATTGTATATAAGTAGTTTTAGAAAATAAAATATTTGTATTAATTATTACTTCAAAAGATAATATTTTAAATATTGTTCATGTAAATTAATATATGATTAATTCATGATATTATCTCATTTGTGTATTTATATTGTAATGTTAATGTGTATAATCAAGATGCATAAAGCAGCTTCAATCTTTTATTTTTTTTTTTTTGCAGACTGCGGTTACTTTAATATGTTTGAATGTCTTTAATCATTTGCTAGAGATTGTAACGTGAATTTTATTCGAATGATCTTAAAATTTATAATATGATTTATTTAATAAATTTATATAGAAAGAGGAGCTATATAATAAAGGCAAGGATTTTTAGGTTGGATTTTATTGTAGGATTTTAGTTGTCCGTACAAATATAAAATATGTTATTAGAGGTTTTAGGTTTAATCGAGTCGAGTGTACTTTGTGAGATATTATAACAACTCTGTTAATGATTTCTCTTGAAAGTGCTTTATTGATAAAAAATTATATGCTTGTTTATTTTTTTTCGTTATGATTCTATGATCAATTATTCGTGATCATTAATGATGTTAATAATCAAATTTCAAACCACGTATAAAATAAATAAAAATTCTTTTGCATGCTTATTAGCCCGTTATACTACAATTCATCTGTCAACATGGGAGACAAGTTAAGCCGTTCATTAGACCCTTCTTTGCTATTGACCCCTCCCTATACAAGAGCAGCCTTTTCGCAAGTGCTATATACATATTTCCGATGTCGTATTGCGCAATTCAGAATCGTTTCGTTTCCATTTTGTTCACAAGCAATGTTAGTTCAATCTCATCTGGAACTTCATTCAGCAGCACCATCTTATTTCGAGATGATATCCTCGAACTTGAGATTGCACTGCGAATAACATCACTACTGCTGTGCGCACTGCTACCGGCAAGTGCTGCCAGGTCCATGGTTGCTCCTGCTAGAATCATTATTGTTGTATCCAATGTCCCTTAACCGGTTAAGCTCCGGCACTATAACGGTGGCAAGATTTGGTCTGTCCCTCTTCCTCAGCTCTGCACATTTCATTGCCAATTGAGCATATGATAAAGCCTCTTCAAGTGGCCAATTTCGCACAGCTGGATCAAGTAAATCGGCTAAAGTTCCGTTTTCAATGGCCTTTCCAACATGGTGAGCGATACCCATCGGAGGCCTGGCCGTAATAATCTGGAGCAACATTATTCCGAGAGAATATATGTCCGATCTAGTCGTTAGCATGCCTGTTTGCTGATATTCAGGATCTATGTAACAGAAGGTCCCTGCAGCCGAAGTCATGTGATATTGTGTTACACTGTCAGCTACAGAAGGGGGAACTAGCCGTGCTAGACCAACATCACTAATTTTGCTCACGAAATTGCGGTCGAGGAGAATGTTAGCAGGCTTAAGGTCTCGATGCACTAGCGGTTCCGGCTTCGATTGGTGAAGGAACAGAAGTGCAGTTGCGATTTCGGCAGCGATTTTAAATCGTCTCCTCCATGAAAGCGGACGAGTATTGCCTTTTCGAAATAGTCGGTCTTCTAAGCTGCCATTGTGCATGTATTCATATACCAAGCATCCATACTCGGGGCATGCACCGAGTAGGAGGACCATGTTAGGGTGTCTAATGCTGCAAAGAACCTCAACTTCTTGTTGGAATTGTCTCTTCCCTTGAGCAGCATCTGGTCTCAAAATTTTGATGGCAACTGGAGTGTGATCAAGTTTGCCTTTATAAACAGGTCCATAACCTCCTTCTCCGATTTTGTTTTCGGCTGTGAAATTTCCAGTAGCTTCTTCGATTTCTTCTATGGTATATTTTCGGTACCGGACATCGTTAATTGCCAAGGTATGCAAAGCCCGGTTTTTCTCATCTGACTCTTGCTTAGCTTTATACTCTGCTTGTTTTCTTCTATATGCTTCCATCTCTGCTTGCCTCTGTGCTGCCTCGGCTGCTTCGATCGCAGCTCTGCATTTAGCTTTCTCTTTCTCTGCCATGGCAAGAGCTGCTTCTTCAGCTTGCCTGGCTTCCTCAAACCTGCGAGCCTCCTCCATCTTCCATTGATGAAGCTCATTAGCCTGCACTCAGAAATAAAGTCAATAAAGTTCTCAAAATGATGTTCTTGACAGCCTTTAGACATTAGAAAAAAAGGAAATGGTAGAATTGAGCTCCATTATTAGATTCTTGTGTTCTTGTTCTCATGAATAAAATCAAAGATTTGTTATATTTAAGACTTGAAGTTTCATAATTTTCTTGGAAGATACTGTTAATTGGATCTATAGAAACTGAAAAGTAGAGAATATGAGAGTAATATATCACCGTTTTCTTGGCTGTAAGAGCTTCTTTGCAAGCCGAGCTGTACATATCCATGGTTTGCTTAAGTTCAAGCTTTAACCTTCTCATTTCATCTTCTATGTCTCTCTGAAACTCACGGTCATATCATATTATGATTAGCAGTTCTGTCAAACACAACACAGAGGCTAAACACCGAAGGGATGAAGATTCTTACCGCACTTTGTTGAAATGGCTCCGAATGGCCGCTTGAACCCACATCAAAATCGAGATCTGTGTCAGACATATCAACAGATCCGAGGGAAAGTTTTTCAGGAAATTCTATGTCACTTGACAAAGAATCTCGTCTCGGCGATGACGGTCCTCGGACTTCATCAATGTCCCATGACATATTTCCTGAAGCGCTTCGGGGTCTGTCACGCATAGGTACTCTTGAGGAATTATCAAAAGAAAGCCTCTCCGGTCCTGCATTTCCTGCTACTCCCTTCATATATTGTCCTCTGCTACATGTAAACCACGCAATGTCAACATTGTGCCAGTACTAAAAATGTAACCGACTTCTCCGTACCTATATCCATCGTCTTCGCTTTGATCCAACGTAAACTGCAATGGCATTCCTAGAGGTGACTTCGGTGGAGCAGCGGTGTTCGACACGGGTCGTTGCGCTGCTCGCACCATCAATATCTTGCCTTTGGAAATCACATACACAGAACAAAAATCTGGTGCAGATTTGATCAAGGTAGTTGGGATGTCACTTTTCAATTTCCTATATGACAAGTAACTGAACTTTGGTTTGTTAGAACATGATACAGAGAAGAAGAAAAACCCAGAACTGAACTTTGGTCGTTAAAACAAAATATTAAACCTTGATATTGCGTTCCTGGTTGCTGCACCAAGGACTATGTTGTTAATCAAGTTCCTACTAATGTAGTCCAAAAGTGCTTTAGAGATATCAGCATCATCAAGAATAACCTCCTTCATTTGAATCTGAACTTGAAAATGAAATTAGATAATTTATTAGCTTCAATTTTGATTAGGGATAGAATGAAATTACTGTGGTGTGATCGTACCCCTAAAATTTTCAAATTTTTGTAGTTTCTATGTACTTTTTATTGATTGTTTAATTTCTCATCATAAAATTTTATAATTTTGTATTCTCTAAATTTCTTATATAACTTCTTAAATTTACATGAAAAATCTTGTATGTCCCTGAGTTTTACCATTTCTCAAACAATTGTTCATGAGAAATGCTTGCTTACCCCTTTGCGAGCGCAGTAGCCACGATATGGGACGAAGAGCTTGTTTACGTCGTCGTCAGATTCGCATTCGCTCTCTGCATGAAAATGATCAAAGAAAACACATACCAAAGGAAAAGATGATGATAGTAATAGGATAGATTTTTGTACCTGAACTTACCTCCAAGTTGCAATTTGGTACTTCAAACTTTTTTTAGTCTAATTAGATATCTGAAGTTAGCTTTAGATACCAAATTGTAACGTGAAGCCAACTTCGGGTACCAAAATATATATTTACCATGATAATATGAGAAAACAAGAGAAGGGGGTACTTACGGGAACTATTCTTAACATGGATCAACACAATGAACGGATTGGAGATGACGAGATGATCAATAGCCCAACGAACGGCGTGAGAGCTGTTCTTGTCTCTGTCGATGGCCACGGCAGTGGTGTTGATTGGTGGTGCATTGTCATCCAATAAGAAGCGAGGAGCCATATCAAAAAACGACGTTGTGGGGCTCTTGGAAATGGTGGTGTTTGCTATCAAACTTGTGTGGTTGATGACAGAATCAAGTTTCTACCACCACAAGAGGCACCGCCGTTGCGACCATTTGGGGCAATGCCACCTCCACCGCTTGCTATGGCCTTTGTTGACAAAAACTAAATGGGAATGACGAAGGAAGAAAAGAAGATATAGGCCTAGTTTTAGGCTTTTTCTCCTGGTATTTAGGTGAAACTACAATGTTTCGCCGTGGCTTGTTTTAGCAAATTGACCAGGTCCATGCCTGTAAAAACTGTAATCTGTAAGAGAAATAAGCTGCCTTTATAAGCAGTTTTTGCTACGATCGCTAGCCTATTTGAAAATTTTCAACAAAATATACTCAAATATACCATCTTTTATTTATAATTATTGCGCCTTCAAAAATTATTTATGAAAATGATAAAAAAAATTACCACGTTGGATGAGATATTCTTTAGAAAATATGTTTTATATAACATGTTATCATACGTAACATAATTGATTTGGAAAAGAGAAACTTATGTTTTACAAAGCACATCTTTCTTGAATTTTATCGTTTCTAGTTTCTAATTTTGATCACCCGTTTAAGGTTTTAAGATTAAGTGGTTCTAGGATTTTAAGGTTAAAGGTTATCGATCATTGTTTAAGGTTTTTGCTTCAATGTTTTTAGTTTTTATGAGGTTGAAATTTAATTTATTATAAATACATTAAACATTATAGTCGAAAGATAATTTATGTTAAACATCAACATACATTAAACATTATAATCAAGTAAAATATAAAACGATAAGAAAATTAGAAACCATTCTAGCAAATGAAATCAACGCTCATTAAATGAAAATACAATAACAACGAGCATAAAGAATTAATGGAATACAATAAATATGATAGTCGGTTATGACGATTAAATAGTTTACATAGATATCAAATCTCAGTGACCTAATAATAAGATAAGCATTAAATGTAAGTCACAAAACATATACAAATATTGGCGATCGGAGAGAAGAGGTAACTCAAAAATTTGCGATTATACTTTCAGTAACCCAAAAATGCAATATAGTATTGAGACTTCTCTCATTATATTATATGTCAATGGTAGACAAAACACGATAATTCTCAAAGTTTCAATCTTGTATACACAACAAATGGAGACTAAGTATAGATTGTTTCGGTTGGTAGCTTGCTGGAGGTTATATGAGATTATTTTTGACGATCTCCAAATTCAAGAAAGTAGTTGTGGGTGGATAGAAATGCATGCAACTGTAATTGTGAAAGAAGGCAATTTTGAATATAAGATCACAAATATAAGTCTCATGAAAAAAAAGACGATTTTTTAAAAAGAACGACATCAACGTGTTTTGTGATTTTTGAAGAATTTCTATGTAGAAGATCAGTCAAATTAGTTTGAGGAAATATATATATATATTTTAAAAGTTTTAGAAATTTTAAGAATTTTTAATCTTCAGGTATTTTAGTGATATTTTTGAACAATTTCTATTTAAGGAGGAAAATAAGAATTTTGTTTTCTAATATGTACTGAACCCACAACCTAGAGGAGAAGGGAGGTGTATAGGTTGTTGACAAGTATTTCGATAATACAATCTTCCATCGTATCATCAAAGGCTTCCTCGTCCAAGGCGGTGATCCCACCGGTAAACCCCCCCCCCCATGTTATTCATCATTTTTTATTTGCTCTAGCCGTTTTGAATTAGTTAGGGTTAGGGTTAGTTAAATTGTTAGTTATGAATTTGAATTTTTGTTTTTAGGTGGAGAAAGTATTTACGGGAGTACGTTCTCGGACGAGTTTCATTCGCGTTTAAGGTTTAATCATAGAGGTATTGTTGCTTGTGCCAATGCTGGTACGCCGCATTCCAATGGGAGTCGGTTCTTTATATCTTTGGATAAATGTGAATGGCTTGATAAAAAGAACACTATTTTTGGAAAGGTAACAGGTGATTGCATTCTAATATTGTTTATTCCATATTGTAATTGATTCTTGAGTGTGACTAGAACTGATTGTTCATTTCGGTAGGTTACTGGAAACTCTATATTTAATCTTCTGAGGATAGGCGAGGTCGACACTGATCAGGATGACCGGCCTTTGGATCCTCCTCCTAAAATCAAATCCATCGAGGTAAAATTTCCTTGTTATATTTTCATTTAAGTAAATAATTAACCAGATCCTTTGGTGTGTTGTAAACAGCTTATTGTCCTTAGTTTTTAGTTTATTGGAAGAGCATTATGTCGGCTGGTTTAATTTTTTATACTGTGAGCTGCTATTTTTAGGTCCTGTGGAACCCTTTTGAAGATATTATTCCAAAAGTAACTTCGAGGCCTTTGATCCTGCCTTCAGCTGAGGCTGAGAACAAAGATTCAAAGAAGAAAGCTGTTAAGTAAGTCTTCTTCTTCCATAATTGAGCACTCTCTTTTGAGCATCATGAATGCATTCTTATTGCTTAAGTTGTATGTTTTGCTTGGAGAATTCAGAAAGCTGAACTTGCTGTCATTTGGCGAAGAAGCTGAAGAAGAAGAGAGAGAGTTGGCAGTAGTGAAGCTAAAGATTAAGGGTAGTCATGATGTGTTGGATGATTCACGTCTCCTAAAGCAAGAAGCTCGTGATAAAGAACAAGTAAGATCCCGTATCTGTCTTGATGTTTATTTCCCCTCACCTTTTTCTATACTTGAATAGATTGCGAAACAATGCTCAAACCAAGTTAATTGAAGCACACTTTTCTTGTTTACAAAAATTCTTCTTCCAATCATTCTCTTTATTACCATTAGCCAGTGATATTTATGTTGGGTTGCAGAGTGTTTTTGCCGTATAATGAGCAGTTAATGAATCTTGCTTCCATTTACTTAATGCAACTATTTGATGCAAGAATTAGCTGCTGCCAAAGCTGCTAAGGATTTGCAATTGTCTGTGAGGGGAGCTCTTAGATCAAGAAGAGAAGGAGATAAAAAAGATGCAGATGCTGATTTTTCATATTCCCTTGATCATAGCGATGATGATGAGGCCAGTTTTGATGCTCGAATGCGCTGTCAAATACTAAACAGACGGAAGGAGATTGGAGCTCTCCCATCAAAGCAAAAGATGCAAAACGGTAACTATTCATCATGGAACTCTTTTGTCTTTTGGATTTAAACAGAAGTGTGAAGTGCAAAAACTACTAGTTACAGTGCTTATTCTCATAAAACCAGGTTTTGGCTCAGTCTTAAAAATCTCTTCTAAAGATAAAAACATAAATATAGGATACTATGACCTTTCCTTGCATTACATTTCCAGGTCCTGTAATGGTCATTGGAAATCCATCAGTAAGGTAGACCTGTTATATATGTAGTTTATTCCACACAATTTTGTCATGTGCGTGTGAGCACATGCAATTAGGCATGGACGCATGGTACCTTTTGAGTTCAATGTAATGTTGAAACAATTTTAGATATTATTAAGAGAAAACTGGAGAAGTACTTAAAACTGTCACCATCATGAAAAATGTAAAAGTGGCAGGTATTTAGGTTTTGCATGATACAAGATGTGAATTCATAGTACAATATCTGTGTTTTAGCATATGGTTAATTTGGTATTGATGTTGTTATAATATGTTGGAGAAATAATGTCCGGAAAAGTATATTCCTGCAATCATAACTCATAAGAGCTTTATGCTTTGTAAGATTTATCTCTTGCTTAGGTCATCGAAGTGAATCACTTATACACAATGTTTGCATGGCGCAATTAGAGCAATCTGTAACATCTAGTAAGGAAAGAGCATTATTTGTCTAGACCTTGAAATTTCAAGTGGTACTTGTTCAGTGATATGATGCACTTGATTTAGGGTTGTTAGAATTTAGCCGAAGATTTTGATAAACTTATCGATATTAAATACATGGAAATTGGCCTGTTATCAGAGAGATATTTTTCTAGTCCACATCCTCTTTCTGGTTTATTTATTAGTTAGTGATTGCCTTAAAATTGGTCTTGACTTTTGGAACCTATGTGCAGGGAGCTCTAAACCAATTGACGATAAAATTTCTGCACGAAGGTAAACATCTAAAGCTTTTTTCCCCTCTCTGTTGTGTTGGTTTGACTTTGGCCATGACTTGATCCGTATATCCATCTTAATTTTGTTGTTGCGTCTTTTCTAACATTATCACCTTCTCTTTCTGCTGCCTCCTGCTTATTCAAGGTACGAAATATATTGTCGCCTTTTCCTTTTGCTTATATAACTCAAACCTTTTTGTTTCTGTAAATCTACACCAGATCCAATGATGAAAGTACTGATGATGACCAACCAAATGTAGGAAAGCTATCCCTGAAGAAAAGGGGTGTCGGATCTGAAGCCAGAGCTGAGCGCATGGCTAAAGCTGATGGAGATTTACAGTTGTTCAGCGAGGCTGAATGAGAAAGACTATTGCAGAAACAGAAGAAACGTAGAATTCAAGGACGTGAAGATGAAGTATGTTATGAAATTTCTGATTCAATGTTGTTTTCCCCTTATTGCCTTAAACTTTATCTTCATTCTGTCTTTGTAATGCAACTCTCACATGGTAGAATCTCCCATCGAACTTGACTTTTACCATAGAGTTGTCTTCTCTGTGCTTATGAAACCCTATTATTGATATTGGAAGCAATGAATGATGATAGGCCTAGATCGATATTTGTATCTTTTAAATTTTAAAATCACATTCTCCACACATGTTGGAAATGGAACTAACTCTACCTTCTTTTTTGAAACATAGGTTCTAGCAAAACTTGAGAGGTTCAAGCAATCTGTTTTCACAAAGCCATCTACTTCTAGCAGTGAGCCTGGAGGTGATGATAATGAGGATTTGTCCAACTGGAAAGCGGTTCGGTTGCAGTTTGCTCCTGATACCAAGGTTGGTTTTCTTTCATTTGCATATAAAACATTTGATTTCTTACGGAGTTTGATTTGTCCAACTGCATTTATTTTTGTACTTGTATTCAGAACAGCACCAAGCTAGTCATGCCGAAAACATAAATTATAAAATTCGTCTGTGGAAACTTTGCAAAATCCCCGATAATTTTTTGTCATAGGCTTTACGGAGTGATCGAGTGTTCTGTTTGAATCATGATGCAGGACGGTATGTCTCGCAAGGATGATCCAAATGACTACGTGGTGGTTGACACTTTTGGAGAAGGGGAAAGAAAAGTTCAACAGGATGCAAGCCAAGCAAAAGCGAAGGGAACGCGAATGGGCTGGCAAATCTCTTACTTGATCTATTCCGTACTGATGAAAACGGTATGTTGGTTCACAGGACTGCCATCTGTTTTTTGCTTCGACTGCTCAGCAGCTGCGGCCAAAGTCCGGAAAGTCAATGATGGATCGGGAGTGCTTTTCTTCTTACTAAGGATTTAGGTATCGATCTAGACCCCAAATTGTTAATATGTCATACATTTTTGCTCATTTTGGTGTATCATAGTTGATAGCTCTAAATATTAAATAATTACGATGTTGATTCATGTTTACCAGTTACCACAGTAGAGTGTACCATGTGTCATAAGACAATATTTATGGTAGAGAGATTTATTAGATTACTTTTATGTGTAATTAACATTAAATATATGAAACTGATGAAATTAATGATAGTTAATGTTACGTTTATTTCATTAATTTATTTAATTAGTTTAATAATGAGGGAATCGTGCCAGCAAAACGAAAAATGAAGAAATTGTGTCCAGTTCACTGTAAATTTTATATTCGTTTAAATTTTAATATTATGATGTATAGATTTTCATACATTTTTTCTTTTTATTTTATTTTTGTATATATCTTATATACTTATTTCCGCTTTATAATAAAAGGACGAATCGCCCATTGATATCACAATTAATGATGGTTTTATATTTGATGTATATATTTTAGTGAATTAGATTATCATATATTATAAGAAAATAGAAATAAATTTAAGGTGTTTTTCAGTTGAATTAATCTGTCAATAAATAGAATATTTATGATATTATTAAAATTATAGTAAAAATAATACTATAATAATACTTTTCTCAATAGAGAAAGAGATGCGCAGTATAAAGTAATTTAAAAGATTATTATTAGTATTTTATTCTCACTAATGGCTGCGTTCACACTTGCTCACGTTTTTATTATTAATTTTAATGTTATGACAGGTTCCAGCTTCAGCCTTGTCTCTGAATTAGTGCTGCTTTTGCAAGGCTCGGTGCCACAAGGTCTGATTTCTTTTTATATTATATTGAAAGCTTTTCACTAAATTTCTTTTTCTAATATATAAAAATTGATTTATTACTTGAAATTGGATATTAAAATTTAAATAAAATATACAATTCTTTACAACTCTAAGTCGGATAAGCTTTTATTCCATTGTATGAACAATGTCTACCCTATTCCCGTAGGCATATGACTACGTGACAAATCATGTCTTACAAATGTCAACTTCAAGCTCTCTGCGTTCACACACACTTTACCTTTCCACACCTTTCCACCCAATGATTTTCTCTCTAATTACGGCTCTTCAAAAAGTTCTTTGTCCTCAAATCCAACACTCATCTCTGCAACTCAAACACCCGTCATTTCTTTTTTCTTCCTCCCTTCAATCTTTCTTCCGAGAAAAAAAATGAATAATGGCCACGATATCTATAATCAGCGACGAAAGCAGAGTTTTCCTGACGAAGAAGATAGTTGTTCCAACGATGAAAAACCCATTTCGGATTCAACCCACAAGAGAAAAACTCGAACCATGCCGGAATTTTACACCGACGGCCGTATAAGGAGGAAGATTTCCAGCCCCATGGAGGCTTCCACTATCAGGACGGAAACCAAATCCGGGTCGGATAAGCTGTTATGGTGGGATGAGTGTGACGGACCTGATTACCCGGAAGATGAATTCAAAAAGGAGTTTAGGATGAGCAAATCAACGTTCGAGTTCATTTGTTCCGAGCTGAACTCCGTTATCCGCGACGAAAAAGACGTCACCATTAAGCAGCGAGTGGCGGTTTGCATTTTTCGGTTGGCCATGGGCGAACCGTTTCGACTCGTCTCGAAACGGTTCGGTTTATCCATTCAGACGTGCCGTGAATCTGTCCTCGAGGTCTGTTCGGCCATACGCACCGTTTTGATGCCGAAGTACTTACGGTGGCCTGATGCGAACTCGTTACGGAAAACAAAACAAGAGTTCGAAGCCATCTCGTGCATACCAAACGTCGTCGGATCAATGCACACAGCCCATATCCCGGTGTCACCCCCGCCGGCGCCATCGCTGGCCGCGTATTTGAACAAAAACCAAACGGAAAAGGACGGGAAAACATCTTACACATTAACAGTACAAGGCGTAGTCGACCATAGTGGGGTTTTCACCGACGTTTGCATGGGGTGGCCGGGATCGATGACCGACGATCAAGTGCTGCAAACATCAGCTTTACACCAAAGAGCAAACGGTGGGTTTTTGAATGGAGTTTGGGTGGTGGGGAGCAAAGGGTATCCATTAATGGACTGGGTTTTGGTTCCTTATAATCAACGAGGGTTAACATGGACGCAACATGTGTTTAACGAGAAGATTAGTGAGATTCAGAGAGTTGCTAAAGAAGCGTTCATGAGATTGAAAGGGAGATGGTGTTGTTTGCAGAAGAGGAGTGATTTCAAGTTGCAGGATTTGAGTGTTGTTGTTGGAGCCTGTTGTGTTTTGCATAATATTTGTGAAATGAGAGGTGATGGGTTTGAGTGTGAGTGTGAATGGGGATCTGAGTTTGTTGTTGTTGAAGATGATGATGAGATGGTGGGTGAAGTTGATTTGAGATCGGTGAGTTCCATGGAAGCCAGAGATGCTATTGCTCATAACCTTTTACACCATGCAATATGCTATTAATTGTAATTTTTTTTATGGATGTGTCACATTGTAGATTTGACATCATGCAAGCTGATAATTGATTAAATTATGATTATTATTAGTCTAAATAGATGTTTAAGTTATTTTCATAATCATTTTAAGATCAATTTATTAAATTTATTACAAAATTATTTATTCATTATTGATAAAATTTTCAATTTATTAATTTTTGGATTTTAAGGTTTCTTGAATTGAAATAAATAAAACCAAAATTAATTTTTGAGAACGGAGGATTTGATTTCAATTTTTATATAGGTAAATTTTTAAAATTAGAATAATTTTAAAAAATAAAACTAAATCTTTAAGTACTAAAAAAATATAAATACCCAATTATAAACAGCTTGTATACAGTAATGGATAATAAATTTGTGTGTGAGAAGTAGGAGAACAGATCAGCCCTCATTTACTTACTTTCGGCTTAAACAGCAAAAGACAGCCCATCACTAAGCAGATAATTAAAAGGAATAAAAATGTCGGATTTTGGGCAAGTGAACACCACTCTCCATTGGGGTTGGGTCCCTTGCGGCATTCTTGTCCTAAAATTTATAATTTCTTTTATAATATCTCAATATTTGTAAGTTTAAATACATTTTGATTATATTTAATATTAAATTAGATTAAATTATTAAATTTCATATAAATTATTTTAATATTTTTATTTTTTATAATATTTAAACTCAATTTTATATAAAGAATGTTAATTTTTCTAATAATTCGATTAGGTAAATATAATTTCACACTCTACTGAATGCTAGTCGCGTGTTGAGTACCGCGCGTGAGAGTTCTCCCAATCCTGAGTTGACAACATTGAACTTATTGTTTAATAATATATAATACATATAAAATGAAAACCCGAACTCTGCTGCTCCTAATCTCACTATCCCAGCATGAACCCGCCTTCAAAGAAGCACTGAAAGACCGCCACGTCGACGGTTTTGATTTGGTATAACTATTGGAGGTAGACGATAAGAGGAAGATCACTGAAGGGGAACTCTGTTTTTCTCTTCATCATCTCTTCTTTGTTGGCCGTTTCCTGCACAATCAATGAAAAAAGTTTTGATTTTTCCTTCCAAGTGAGTTTTTAGAGGAGGAAATATATATCTCTTTATATATAGAGAGAGTGAAGGAGAGGTTTTAGAGGGAGAGGGAGAGAGAGAGAGAGGGGACATGGAGGGCATAGATGAAGAAGAGAGTGGAGGAGAGGAAGTGTTAGGGTCAAGCTTGACGATGGAGAAGGTGGCGGCGGCCAAACAGTTTATCGAGAATCACTATAGAGCTCATATGAAGAATATTCAAGAACGCAAAGAAAGGTACCATTTTTGCTTGTTCTTTTATTTTATTATTTATGATCTTTGTTTGGTTGCTGAGAAATTCTAAAAAGTAAATATAGGACCTTTGAATGTTAGGTTAGTTAATATTTGGTGGAATCAATGAACTTTCTAGTCAACTTAAGCGCTGAACCTACCTTCAATTAATTCTTAAAAAAATCTATTTTTTTATTTTGAGCTGATGAACTTGGTGCTTGTTTGGTATGTAGCTTAGTGCCATTCTTTACTGTTACTGGACCAGTGTTAAATTAGGTTTCTTTGTTAGGAAGTGAAGCATTGAATAGGAGTAACTGAAACTGCTTCTCCCAAATCAGGGGTGGATTTTTGTGTGTGTGTGTGTGTGTGTGTGTGCGTTTTACTGTTCTGTGCTTGGAGTTGATAGTGTTGATTTCAAGTTCATAACATAATTAAGTTCATCATTGCAGACGATGGGTCCTGGAGAGAAAGTTAGCTTCTTCAGATGTGCCCAAGGAGGAACAGATCAATCTTATAAAGGATTTAGAGAGAAAAGAGACAGAGTTTATTAGACTTAAAAGGCACAAAATTTGTGTTAGTGATTTTGATCCTTTGACTATTATCGGAAGGGGAGCCTTTGGTGAGGTTAGAATGCTAATGCTTGTTATATGTCAAAATATCAGTTATTTCTGACATAAGTGGCTTCGTTGTTCCTTCTATTTGAAATTGTTGTTTTCTGCTTCTTATTCATATTACCAATAATGCATTGGCTGCTTAGAGTATTTTATTGTTCTGCAGGTTCGATTGTGCCGAGAGAAGAAATCTGGAAATATTTATGCAATGAAGAAGCTAAAGAAATCGGAAATGCTTAAGAGAGGGCAGGTAACATTCAAATTATTATTCATTTAATTGATATCTCTGAAGTTAGAATTGAGAAGAGTGGAACTTTCTAGTTTCTTCAACCCTATGCCTTTATATTATGCTTCTTTGTCTTAAAGTTTGTAGTCACTCTCTACATGTTGTCCCTTGATTTTAAAACTAACTCGAAGTTGTTGTATACTACATCAGAAGAAGGCATTTTTTCTATACTTTGTCTATTCTCCATTTATTTTCAGATGTTGTACTGCTAATCTAACCAAATGTATTTCACTCAATAGGTCGAACATGTTAGAGCAGAGAGGAACTTGCTGGCAGAAGTTGCAAGTCACTGCATTGTAAAACTTTATTATTCATTTCAGGATGCTGAATACTTGTATTTGATCATGGAATATCTTCCTGGAGGTGATATGATGACTCTGCTGATGAGGGAAGATACCTTAACTGAGAATGTGGCTAGGTTTTACATTGCTCAAAGTATCTTGGCCATCGAGTCTATTCACAAACATAATTACATTCACAGGTTAATATTTAAGCTTGCACTACTATGTTGTCTAATGAATTCATTTTGAAACGAGGTGATATGGTAATTTCTGTTCATAATTGTTCAAGTTACGGTTTACCGCATCTTATTCCTTTACATTCACTTTCTTTTCAGAGACATTAAACCTGACAACCTTCTTCTGGACAAAAATGGTCACATGAAGTTATCCGATTTTGGCCTTTGTAAGCCTATTGATTGCATGAATTTACCAGCAATCCATGAGAATAAGCCGCTGGATGATGAAAATATAACAGAACCAATGGATGTTGATGGATGTATTCCTGATGCCAACGAGAAAAGCAATTGGAGAAGCCCTCGTGAGCAGCTTCAGCATTGGCAAATGAACAGAAGAAAGTTGGTACGTACGCAATTTACTTCACAGTTGTACTGTTTTAATGCAGCGTTCTTAAAGTACATTCCAGATGAATCTATAATAAACAATGTTATAGTGGCTCAAAACCTTTATAGTTTTCCAGCTTTTTTTGCCATCCTTTTTGTTTTACTGTGAAGGCATTTTCAACTGTGGGAACACCTGACTACATAGCTCCTGAAGTGCTACTGAAGAAAGGATATGGCATGGAATGCGACTGGTTAGTTATATTTATTTTCAGTTCACTTTCTTTCTCATGATTGCAATTGGATCTAGTATTTATTATCCTCTTTTTTTTGCTTCACCTTCATGCATGATGCTTATCTGTTCTACGTTTCTAGCTGAACACCATCTATCATTTTTCTTGCAATAACTTCGATAGTGGGAGCGAACTAATTGCTGAAACTAACTCGGTTTCTCTGTGAATTTCTCTTAATAAAAATAATGCAGCCTTTTTTGTTGACTTCTTTTAGGTGGTCATTAGGAGCAATTATGTATGAAATGCTAATCGGATACCCGCCATTCTTTTCTGATGATCCAATTTCCACATGCAGGAAGGTAAATGTCTGTCTGCTTTATTTTTCTCTGCTCCAGTTGACCTTTGGTGTACTATTATTACTATTACTTGATGGAGGTTTTTTTTCCTGACATTTTATTCGCCAATTACTGTCAGATTGTGCGTTGGAGGAATCACCTAAGATTTCCTGAAGATTCGAAGATAAGTCATGAGGCAAAGGATCTTATATGTAGATTGCTATGCGATGTCGAGCACAGATTGGGTACTGGAGGGGCAAATCAAATTAAAGTAAGATTATGATCTATTGAAACATTATTTCTTTTCCGCCAACTATTTCTGCTTACCTATGGTTGTTGACATGTAATTTTGTCAGGCTCATCCTTGGTTCAAGGACATTATATGGGATAAGCTGTATGAGATGGAGGCAGCATTTAAACCTGAAGTGAATGGGGAGTTAGATACTCAAAATTTTATGAAGTTTGATGAAGTATTAAGTGAACTCTACTTTATTTTTGCTTATTCCAAATACTTAATCGCTTCCTTCATTATATGTTTCTTTGTGAAATTAAAGATATCTGTTTTAATCTGACTATTTGTTGAATTATCACCAGTTGGATCCTCCAGCATCGGCAAGAACTGGCTCGGGATCCTCACGGAAGGTCTGTAACAAATAGAACTTTATTCCTTTTCCTTATTTTTTGTTAAGACATGGTAATTTACGGGAAAATATGAATTCTACTTTCATGGTCTCTCTTCTGAAAGTGTTAACACCTTTACAGAAACAAATACATTGATTCGAGAAATATATGCATTTTTTCCCATGAAAATCAACGTCATTTTTCTCGTTATTCCATGAGTTGCTAGTTCCCACAAACAAACTACACTTGTTAAAGTTTTATTTAACCCCCCCCCCCCCGGGGGGGTTTGTGCAGATGTTTTTAACTCCCAAAGATTTAAGTTTTGTTGGCTATACATACAAGAACTTTGATGCTGTCAAAGGGCTACGCCATGGTTTCGGTATTCAATTTGTCTTGTTGTTGTCAAGATTTTTCTGCTCTACTTAAAAGAGAAAACTTGACATCACCTATCTAAACTCTGCAGATTTCAATAATCCATCAATGGAACAGCCACCTGTTGATTCTATATACAGTAATGGACCTTTCTCTTCTATATTTTCTTCTTTCATCATCTTCCTAGCGTTATTATAGTCATAGATATTATATTTCTCTTTCTTCATTCTGATATAAGTTTATTAACTAATGCAGGTGATTCCGGGGTAGGTTATCCTGCGAAGCAGTTGGCCGAGGAAACAGATATGCAGATGCTTGCATCGGCAGGTGATCCCATGTTGCCATAAAGTAACCAAAGCCTAATATACCCCATATATATATATTGGGATGTTTCTGCTTGCGTTGAGTTCGGTAACCCTCCCAAATCCTGCAGTTCTTGTGGAGTGGCTGCCATCTGATTATCGGAATCAGTCAATGAAATGTACAGTAATATTTAAGAAAGATTTTGAAAACCGGTTTCCGAGTTGAGTGGCAGGACAAGGGAAACCCTTAGCCAAAAAGGCATTGTGTTTGAATTTAGATGAGAGTTGTGGATGCACTGGCTGCCCAGGTTGGCTGTGTTAAAATTTGCCTTCTCTAGTGGCAGTTTCTGGTCTAAATTTTTAATTGGTAGCACAAAACTCTTGAGAAACTCCATAGCCATTTTGGGAGCAACGATGCTACCCTTATTGTTGTGTGTAAACTTATATTTACCAGAAACTAGGAATTAATTGTGAGGAAACAAATATTTTGCGGATACAATAATTCTCAGTAAAAATTTCCTTCTTAATCTTATTATTTTGTTGTATGATTTGATTCTATCCGAACTCTATTAAAGTACATAGATTTCAATATGAACATGAAGATATAATCCTTCAAATATATGAAAAAGCTTGGAAAAAACAATTAAGTCTACTCGTATTAATTACATATATATTCATCACTTATGTGGCATGAGCTATATCATTTAAGAAAAGGTCAAAATGATCTTGGTCTGTCTACATAGGTAAGAAGGGGGGAAACTCTAATTAAAAGGTCAAGTTTTTGGCCATTTATTTAACCACAATCAATTTGTTTAGGTAAGATTTTGGTATTTGAGGCAGGTAAATTTGTGTTGATTTGATTATAACACTGTCACCCAGGACTCCACCAAAACTCTAGGCTCAATACAATATTTATTATTAAGTGATTAATCCTAGACTTTTGTAAAAGTTTAAAAATATATACGCATGATTAAAGTAAAGCCCTCAATCCAAATCATAACCAGCCACTTCACCTCACTTTCTTTTCCCACAACTCAAAACCCCCATAGGAGAAACGAATGGCAAGTGTTTGATGGGACTGTTTCCAAGATGAGAAGAAAATAAAAGATCTTTCATTTTATTTTTTTTCAATAGATTTGGGATGATGAGCTAGTTAATGATGTTATAAACAAGATTAATTACCAAAAAGCAGTGTGATTTGTACACACCACAGCAAATAATTGAATTTGATTAGATCAAACAAGTTTTTTTTTCCAAGGATGCAATCAAAAGCAAATGCCAAACGTTGATCAGCAAAAGGAAAGCCTTGAAAAAAAATCTACCATGCATGTAATGAAAAAGGTTGTAATTTCTTCCCTTTTTTTCCCCCATTAAAGCAATCAAGATGTAATTTAGACAAAGACCCTTTCCAAGATTAGGCAATTACATCGAAAAATCACATTTTACAACTTTAATTACATGTCAGACACCCTTTCATCTTTATTTACCGATCTAACACCCTTTGCAGAAAGACGCACCTCCTGAAGCGCCCCTTACGCTGATCTAGCGCCAAGTGAGATAACGTGCATCCCCTGAAACGCGTCTTATGCTGACATGGATACACGCTATGCCACGTAGGGGTATAGCATTGTGCAGGGGCCGCGCCTTCCTGCAATTATGACATGTATAATGCAAGGCGCGATGCATGGCCGCCCCTTGCATAATTGCATCCTCACTTCTCGAGTTTAAAGCATCGCCTCTCCGCTATAAATACCCCTCTCCCTCGTAAACTCTCTCACAACTCCCTTTCAACCGATAAACTGCTACAATAATCATCTCAACCAGTAAAAAACACCCGACAATCATTTTATATTTGATTCAGAAGTTCGTTCGATCTTTCGTTATAAGGTAATTTTTTATAATATTTTTTTTATAATTATATATGATTATTTGAAAAAAATATTGTATTAATTGTTTTCAATTAATTTTTGTGGTTGTAAAATTGGAAAATGGAAGCATACGTCGAAATATTTTTGCCAATACGGCCAGACACGGGTAGGCATCACTAACTTAAGGTTCTTAATAAAAGGATCTAATATACGGCCAGACACAGGGGGCACACCTTTCTGACGCGTGTCATAATTGTAGGAAGACGCGATCTCTGCACCGCGCTATACCCCTACGTGGCATAAGGAGCGTCCCAAGGGCCGCGTCTTAGCCAGCGTGTATCCATGTTAGCATAAGACGCGCTTCAGGGGATGCGTCTTACCTTACGTGGCGCCAGATCAACGTAAGACACATTTCAAGGGCGCATTTCATGGATGCGCCTTTTTGCAAAATGTGTTAAATCGGTAAATAAAGATGAAAGAGTGTCTGACATATAATTAAAGTTATAAAATGTGATTTTTCGATGTAATTGCCCCAAGATTAAACATAAATAAAGAGTTGAAATAAAAATAAAAATTTATATAATTTTAGACAAAGATAGATAGAAAGTTTAAGTGACTCTTTAAGATTTAACATGTGTCGTCACTTTCTCTTTTTACTCTTTCTTACACACATTAGACTAGGGATGGTGTGCGTCGGGTTGGGTCGGGTTTTAAGCATACCCGATTCGATCCGAGAAGAAGGATACCTCCACCCGTGACGACCCGATAAAATTTGAGTTTTCACCCGATTCGACCCGACCCGATGGATAGTTTTAAAATCTGATCCGATCCGATTCGATTTAATTTTTTATTTTTTAAAAATAGACCCGACCCGATTTTTTTATTTAATAAAAAACCAATACGGCTAGGGTAATCTTAGTATATTTATTACTGGTGTTGCAGTTCTTGTCAATGAAGCTCGAAGCAGTCAATTTAAAATAAAAAAAAATGACTTGCAATCAGAAGTTCTGAGAACATAATTCAACTATGATAATGCGTAACAACAAATATTTAACAAACCATGCAGTTACACAAATGAAAGAAAAAGTACCAAAAGGCATACATTTAATTTAACAATCCTGGATGGCATTTTCCTTACTAGCAGATCATGTTCTTCCCTGGTTATCTAGACAGCAGATAACCCAATTCAAAAGATCAATTAATTTTGTATAACAAGACCGAATCAATAAAATACAGAACAAAGAAAAACAATACACGATAAAATCAAAATCAGATAACAGAAAATGAGAGAAATCAAAGTGGTAGGATTTTCTCTACCCAAAAACAAATCTCGTCAAATAATGAACCAACGAAGATGTAAACTGAAAGTTGAAGTAGAGAGACAGAGATGACTTGTAGAAATCCACTTGATTGAACCTAAAACAACATATAAGTGTAGATTAGCACTTAATTGAACCTAAAACAACATATAATTGAACCCAGAAACGGAGCTCGTCAAAGAAGGAACCAACGAAGATGTAAATCGAGTCGTTGCTTTTGCGTCGGTGGCTCTGACCTCTGTGTTAAGTGTTTGAAACTGCTGAAGGCTGAAGGAGATGCTCGGGTAGGATAGGTAAAGGGACATTAGGGAAAGTAAAAAAAAATAATAATTATTCATTTACTGTTCGGGTCAGGTCGGGTAAGATTATTTTAGCCCCCAACCCGACTCCGAAAATTTCAATGTAAAACTCAACCCAATTTGAACTCGATTTTTTTTAAAAATCCGACCCGATCGGATCAGGTCGAAACCCATCGAGTTCGAGTTCTCAAGTTCGGGTTCTATGACCATCCCTACATTACTAACATTAGACACACACGCACACTTTCCTTTTCCTATGCATTTTCTTAATCTTTAATTTTTCTGGTCCCAAAATATCCATATATTATCCATTATTGTATTGCAGATAAAATATAAAAGAATAAAAATAAATAAAAATCTTATTTTGGATCCATAAAAGAAAAAAACATATTTTTAATCCTTAATTATTGATCGTTTTGTGCTTTTTTTTACTTACATTTAATGATATTAAATGTTAAGCAAAGGAAATTTAAAAAAAGCTTCTTGCTTCAAACCATAAAGTGATTGGCAAAAAAGAAGTGATTTAATCCTTAATTACTTACTTTGATTTCCATTTTCCATTTTCCATTTTCCATCTTTTCATGTGTCATCTAAGGATGTTAAAAAAGCTTGTTTCTTCAAACCATAAAGTGATTGGCAAAAAGAAGTCTACTACAGCTGGCAAAACTAGGTAGTAGTCATTCCTTTGTTGTTAAAGTTTATACATTTTCTTTCCCCCTTTTCTTTTATCTTCTTGATTATAACTTTTAGCCAATTTTCAGCAAAACACATTACAAGAGGCTGAGAAGGGTTGCCTCAGATCCTGGGAACTCTTTGTATAATATCTGAAGAAGGGTACTCTCCCTTTTAGGGTTTTCTTGTGATTCTTGGGGCATCACTTTTCTTTAAGTTATTTTTCATGAACCCCCTCCCCCTCTCTCTCTCCCCCCCAAGTCTTTCCTTTTTGTGTTTAAGGATAAAGGGTTGGCCTTGAATTTGATCTATTTTTGGTTGTGTGGATGTTTATGTTATTTCTCTGTTTCTTGATGTATTAACTTTAGTTGCTGGAGGTAAATAAAGAGGAGTCCAGAGAAAAGAAGTTCGGAAAAAAGAGGCATAATCAAAGGTGTAAAGTCACTATTTTGGGTAGTAATTTCCACAAATGGAAGTTTGGATCCAGTTGTAGTTGACCAGATCTGACTGTAACCCAATTCTCTTTCACTACCTTGTTTCACTCACCCATAGGTTCAAAACCTGAACTTGACACCTCTTTGGACACCTTTGAGTTGATTAAGGCATGGTTAATGATATGTTAAAACCCACCATTCTTTGTTCCATTGTCATTAGTTTAGCTAAACAGTGATTAGTAGTGTGGTATTTGAAGGGGTTAAAGGGGATTTTTGATGGAGGTGTTGCCATTTAGATTAGGTAATTCACTTTGTGAAAACTCAACCTTTTCTACTTGTGTGGACATCATAATTCACAAGACTTAAGCTTTTATGGCAAATCCACTGGTATTTTAACTGATGAAGATGTTGATTGCAACTGTGATGGTATGGAAACTGAAGTAAGTAGCATGGAGTTGCCACTACCAGAAGAGGTAATGGAAGAAGTTGATATGGTAACTATTATTAAAGATAGTTGCATTGCTAGTGCTGATATTATAGCCCAAGAAAGTGAGGAAGACGATTCTTTGTCTTTGGAAGGCGATCGTGTTTGTGATATGGATAGCTTGTGTTCGTTATCTGTGGCAAGTGAGACTAGCAGCTTTTGTGGAGAGGATTTCCTTGGTTTCGATTCCACTTCTGGTGTAGACATTGAGAAAAACATATGCGGTTTGGATATTATTGCGAAAGTCGCCAAATTTGTGGAGTCGAATGTCGAAACAGGCAACAAAGATCCTATTGCTGTAGAGGTCAGCCTTGAGGAAGAGGTTGGAGATGGGTCTGAAGTGAAACTATCTGAAGGGGTTCTTCAATTGGCTCTCCAAAAGGAAGAAACTACTATGACAGTTCCGGTCCCGCGCAGTGTGTTCGAGGTGGAATATGTACCTCTTTGGGGATATACTTCTATATGTGGAAGGAGACCTGAGATGGAAGATGCAGTGGCTGCTGTGCCACGGTTCGTAAAGGTTCCAATCGAAATGCTAATTGGTGATAGGGTATTCGATGGCATGAGCAAGGGCTTTGCTCATCAGACTGCTCATTTTTTCGGGGTCTATGATGGTCATGGAGGTTCACAGGTTGGTTTTCAATTTCCTTTCTGTTAAATCACATTGGATGTTTAGGAAATAATTTTTTTGTTGTTATTTACTGTTATATAGGTTGCAAACTACTGTCGAGACCGGCTTCACTCTGCTTTGTCTGAGCAAATAGAGTTTGCTAAAGAATGTTGGAGCAATGGAAACGCAACCCATAGTTGCCACGAGCTGTGGAGAAAGGCATTCACTAATTGTTTCGTTAAAGTTGACGCTGAAGTCGAAGGACAAGCTGGTCATGAACCTGTTGCCTCGGAAACAGTTGGTTCTACTGCTGTTGTTGCCCTTATTTGTTCTTCTCATATCGTTGTAGCAAATTGTGGAGATTCAAGGGCAGTTCTATGTCGTGGTAAAGAGCCCATGGCTTTGTCCGTGGATCATAAAGTAAGAGACTGAATTTTACCTTCGTATCTTATTGTATTTGTACGTCAACTGTCGGAAACTTATACCCTTCTGTTTTTATTTTGTTCAAATTTCGTAGCCAAATCGAGAAGACGAATATGAAAGGATCGAAGAATCTGGAGGCAAGGTTATTCAATGGAATGGACATCGGGTTTTTGGTGTTCTTGCAATGTCAAGGTCCATTGGTATGTCTTCAGTTTATGCCTTCTGAACTTTAGTCATTATTGTGTTTCTAAGGTTTGATCGCCTATATGCAAAGCAAAATACAAGATTTATCTCTTGTGGATTACTATATATAAAAATCTGCTCATTTATTTAGGTGTGGCATCTGCAGTATCTATTTTACGCCTGCTTTAAGTCTAGCTTTTTCGATAGTTTTATATGCATATAGTATTCAAAATATGCAGCTATTCTATAGCCCTTGATTGAACGGTGATCGGTGAATGTTAAAGAGAGTAATAGATTATAAATATCCATGCATGCTTTTCTTTTCATGCATTAACAGTATTTGCTTGGTAATATAAGCTTTGGGTCGGGAAAAATAAGTCGTAATAATGCATGCGTTCTGGGGGCATAATCACTCTCGGTTGATACGTAGTAAATAATTTGAGTGGACGGATGAATTAAAAGAAACGAGAATAATCATTCTTGATGTTTCAGGTGACAGATATTTGAAGCCCTGGATCATTCCAGAACCAGAAGTAATGTTTGTCCCTAGAGTGAAAGAAGACGAATGCCTCATTTTAGCCAGTGACGGTCTATGGGATGTTATGACAAACCAAGAAGCATGCGACCTGGCTCGTAGACGAATACTTCAATGGTACAAAAAGAACGGTGCAACCCTGACTTCAGAAAGGGGGGAAACAATCGATCCTGCGGCTCAAGCAGCAGCCGAATACCTTTCGAACCGAGCTCTCCAAAAAGGAAGCAAGGACAACATCACAGTACTTGTGTTGGATCTGAAAGCTCAAAGGAAATTCAAGAGTAAGCCATGATTTAGTTTCTCCAACTTTGCCATATTGACAAAATCCATACGGTTTGAATATAGCTTTTCTCCATTTGTATGTACACTATAGAACATGAAGCACGCACCATTGTATTTCTGGTGCATCTCCATTGTTTTAAGTTCTGGGTATTATAAGTCATTAGCCATGCCGTAGGAAATAGGCGATTATGTGGATTTCCATGCTTTCAGACATCGTGGGAAAATGTATTCATTGTGCCTCCGAGTTGAAAAAATCACTCAGAGGCATTTGTTTTGTATTATTTTCGACTCCATGGTGCTTATAAAAGTTAGCAAGTTCTGGTTCATGGCATTTTATTTACTATTTGTTCTGACAGAAAAAAGAAATAGATTTCAAGTAAAACAATTTACTTCTGTTAATTCCTTTCTGGGTTTTAATGATCAGTCTAAGGTTGAACAAAGTGTTATTCAAGCTATTGATTTGCTCTGCCATTGAAACTATTGATATCGATGAGATGCTTAAAGATTGTGACACTAATATTGACGAGGCAGAACATGTTTTGAATGTCTACTGCTCCAATGTTTACACTGAGGAAGATGGTGAAGATGAATCCATACAAGAGAAGAGTACATGTTCTAAACTAATGAGTTTGGAGAGGTGGTCAGATTTTCATGACCTATTGATTGGAGAATCGTCGGTATTGGAATCTTTATCTGCATAGGATGAGTTTATGGAGGTTAAATCACATGTACCGGAATCTATCAACCAACTTTTCTGCAACTAAAGTTGTCAAAGACTGTAGTCCAATAAGAACCAGTTTACAGTTGAATATACATTCAAATGTAATCAAGTCATCGCTTGATAAATGAAGCAATAGCTAAAGTTGTTAGCATTTTTTCTGTGCCTTTTCATTGCAATCACTTGGCTCACCAAGAAGTCTATAATTTCATTGATGATTTCGGATTACTATCAGAGATATTCCATCGTGTGTTCAAAGAACAGATCTGAACAACCTCCACCGCTTCTCCTAAGTTACAAACAGACCCCTAACGCTTGTCGTTGACACTATAATAGAATCAACTTATAATTGAAACTCAGGGTTCTGCAAAAGCTAATATAGTCTGGTCCTTGGATTTTCTTACAGATACCTACATGGATAGAAATGGACGGAGACATTTTCGATGTACTACGCGGACTATGTGATCGTTGCAGATCAATGTTGGCCTTATGTGGGAGTTGGCTCTGAGATAATAGTAATGGTGAATTGTTGACTGATTCAAGAAGCACTGTGGTGACTGTGGATCCCCTCGTACGTTGTGATTACGTAACTTGGATCATCCCTGTCTCTTTCAACTCTTTTCTTCACGGGACATCCTTCAACCGAGCATCGATAGTAGTTCCTATCAATCAGACAATAAGAAATGAACACAACAGAGTTAAAACCTCAAGTTTGAAGATTAAAAGCATACAAGCATTGGCTAAAATACCTCGGATTTGGGCTGTTCTTCACCATTTTCTTCCCATATTTCCTCCATCTGTATCCATCATCCAGTATCTCGACCTCGGATTTCGTCTTGAATGCATATCTTCCTTTGACTTCCCTCCTCTCCCTCACAGTTTCATTTTCTCCTATCAACACAGAGAAGCATGATTCTCACCCAGTGAACACATACATAATATAAGAACAAGTTCCAAGTAATTTTCATTACCAGATACTTGAAGGAGGCTGCTAGTGCCAGCAGAATCATTAATCACATTAGCTTGATTAAAAGGTATCTGAATTGACCCTGAGATGACAGCTTCAGGATAATCCTCGAGCCAACCGTCGAAAGTCCAGTCATCAGGGAACTCGAAATCAGATCGATAGGCACGGTCGCTTTCCGCCGAGTCCGGCGGCTTAAAACCATCGTTAGACATCTATCTAGATAAACTAAAAGACTGCTGTCTAATGGTATCAGCATACACCTATACAGATATTACATTCTGCTTCATTATCTGCAAGGTGGTTTCGCCATGACCTTCCTATGACATTTACAGGAAGCTTCAGTGGTTGATGTTGAAACAACATGCCTAAATATTTAGACAAGTCAAAAGTGATTAAGACCCCTAACTATGATCAGCATTATTCTGGTCTTTGGTCTTTACATTTAGAGCTGAAGTCAATTGGATAAATATATATATAGGTAATAAATTATGCCTTTTCAATTCAACGATAAACCTGGTTCCTGGAAGCCAGACTGCGGAATTTGTATATATTTCTAGTCCACTATATATTATTTTGAATAATGGTGAAATCAACTATTTACTGCCCATCTTTCCATGTCATATATATATATATTATAAGGACCACATTTTTCTCTCTATATTCTTCACCAGGATGGAAAATTGTAGATAGAAACATGGAAGGATTTTTATAGTAAATTACACATAGGTCACTTGTTTATTAGTAAGACTATAAACGAGTCATTCAATTTCAAAAGATTATATATGAATCACTCAATTAATCGATTGTTACAAACAATGAAATAAATCATTAACTCATTAAATATTATGCACCTTTCTGATGTAATATATTTTATTCATAGAAAATATTTGATTTCAAAAAGTTACAATAAAGTCACTCAAATTTCACTTCAACGAGAGACCAATGACCAAACCCTAAAACATATTTATTATTCCAAACAAACAAACCCTGAATCATTTCATGCTGACGTGCATACGTTTATTTGATCAGGAAAAAACTAGTGGAGAAAATGGTTTTTATAAGAAAATATTTTCAGCTTTTTAAATTTAGTTATTAGTATATATTTAAATAGGGTGAAATCCATAGGCCGTAGGTCGCCATGCACTCCTGGCGACCTTGTAGGTCGCCATGCACTCCGGGCGACCTACCCTTGCTCAAACAGAGAGAATGAACGTGTTGCATGACACATGCACGTCCCAACACATAGGTCGCCATGCCCTCCGGGCGACCTTGTAGGTCGCCATGCACTCCGGGCGACCTACCCTCGCTCGGCTTCCCTCGGATTCCTTCGCATAGCTCGCTCGGTTGCCCTCGGATGCCCTCGCATAGCTCGTTCGGATGGCCTCGGTCGGATGGCCTCGGATGCTCTCGAATGGCCTCGGTCGGATGGCCTCAGATGCCCAGCGTGTTGGGACGTGCATGGCACATGCAATCTCTTGTAGCTTGCCGGGAAGACATGGCGACCTACGATCAACACTGTGGATTTCACCTTATTTTAACAATTAATCTTGGGAGTGCTTTATCTTGTAAATTAATTTTTTCCAGAACATTATCTCGAAAGTTTTTCCCTATATAACCCCTTCACTCTTTTAATACTTTAGGTTATGTGTTATGATTTGTCAGAATCACGAGCAGCCAAAATTAAAACTATAGATTAATGTATTAAATCTTATATTAGTTTTTTATAACACTTTAGCTTTAGTAGAATTACGATGCAAAGATTGTTGTGTGGTTTAAAATTTATATAACAATTATAATTATAATAATTGAATATATTAGATTTTTATCAATATTAATCATAACAGTGATTTTGATTTGCATAGGAACTAAAGCTTGAGGCTTACATATCGCATCTTAATTCAACTGTGTTAATCACTTATTTAATATCATAAACTTAAGGCGAGATGCATGTTATTTTACTTGTATAAATCCGTGATGCCGTCAATGTCGTCTTGTTTAAGTACCCTTTTCTGTCCACCTGGGAATATTGCGTACATCACTGCTTCTTCCTTCTGACTATGATTCAACCCAAGAATATGTCCTAATTCATGCAGGGCTATCGATTCTATGTCCACTTGGGTTGTATTTTCTGCAGGATTAGTGCTCCAAATCTCATCTGCATCGAACTGAAGAAACGAATACCTAGATTGTGGAGGAGTAGCATGAGCCACAACATTAGGCCGATATCTATCTAGTGGCCCGTCAAATGGCTCTCCATCCCCATGAAATCGTCGAAAGAATCCGATCCCGATATCGGTGTTAGCGCCCGGTGTCGTGTTCTCTCTGAACGTGAATTTAGAAGCGTTTCTCCATGTTTGGAACGCTCGAGCAATGGCTAGTTTCAGATCTTGAAGATCAAGCACCTGAGAAGAATTAGATAAGTAATTGTAGGTGAGGTCGTACTTGAACCATTTCATCCTCCCGTCGAAAAGGACATAGTTAGAGGTTTGTTCAATGTTAATATCAGGCACACCGCAACGAGGGGTCGACATTGCTTTCAACGTATTAGGATCGATCTTACCGGTTACGTTTAGACGGTAAAATTGTTGGTATGCTCTGAGAGCAAACTCTAAAGCATAATCGAACTTATCATCCATTTCATCATTGATCTCATGAGGATAATAGCCGTAGGCTTTCAGGAATGCTTCACTTTATTAATCTCATACACAACATCTCCTTTCTGGGTTTCTTTAAGATTCGGAAAGGATTCGAATTTGAGAGGTCTCGAATTCGCTGCAAAAGGATGCAACACTAAGAACATAAGGATTGCTCCAAAAAGATTATGAGAAAATTTGGCTGCCATTGGAAGCCTTGTGAACAAATTGTATTATTGATTGCTTTAGTGTGTGTTTTGATGCTTGCTTTCACTCCTATTTATAAGGTCAGTAAACTAACAGGTCATTAATTTGTGTTAATTACTACGTTTTGGTTGATTTTCTAGCCCACATGTATTAAATTTAATTTCTCAATATAAAAATTATTTAAATTCATAAATTTAATTCAAATAGTGTTAAATATTCAAGTTTGTGGAAGTGTAGATTTTTTTTAACAATTACATTTATTTTATTTATTTATTTAATCTTGCGCAGCCAAAATTGAAATTATAGATTAACGCATTAAAGTATGTTAATAAATCCACTCCCTTGTTCGTAAGTTTAATTGCAACTAAACTTTAAATATAAAACAGTTGAGGAGGTAATAGATACAGGGGACCGAAGGTTAGGGATGGTCATTTCACTTGGATTAAGTGGATTTTTATCTAGTTCGATCCTGTTAGTTGATTTTTTATTTTGAAAACTCAAATTCAGGTCGAGTTAATTTTTTTTAGTATAGAGTCGAATCAAGTTCATATTTATAATGAAAAATTCAGTTTAATCTGATGTAGTATTATACTTATTCTTTATATATTTTAGGGGTTATTACAATCATATCTATTTTTATTTTTTTCCAATTAATTTGATTTAACGAAAATGAATTTTATATATAGGTCATATCAAATGCATGTCTTAACCTAAAAAAATTGAGTCAGGTTTTAAGTGGGATGAAATTCTCTTAAAACCGACTTGGATTGGGTACGGGTGGAGGGGTTTAATTTTCGGGTAGACAAAACCTTGACTCGAGCCATGGCCGAGCTTGCGGGGGGGGGGGGTCGGAGGGGCAATTTCCTCTAAAACTTTTATATTCTTATATAATTTAGATATTTTATTTATATTTTTTTATTAATAATTAATTTTAGTCCTCTAAATTTTTATAAATTTATCTCCATAGGTCATAGTGTTGTGGAATTCAGGTTAATTTCCACTAATAATAACAAATTCACCTTGAAAACTATTAACTAGGTGACTAGTATGAAAACGATTGTACTAAAAATCACCCCAATGTAGATTCACAGGAAAGAGTGGAGGGGTCACAATGGTCCATCTTAAAACTCACTCTCCTTAGACAGAACTACCAAGACAAGTAATTTTAATAGGACAATAATTAACAATAACTATACCCGACAATAGCTATTAAATAGACATAAAAGAGAACACCAAAATTTAACGAGGTTCGGCCAAAATTATGCCTATGTCCTTGAACACTACTAAAATAATATTTCACTAATAGAGGAAATATTACCAATAGAGAAAATATTACAAAGAGAGAGAAAGAGTACAAATAACCTTTAATATAGAAGAATGCTTATATTTGTGAGATACAAAACTAAGGAGGAGGAGGGTTCTATTTATAAAAAAAGAATTTTCCCTCCTCTTTATACAAAACCAATGTGGGATTCAAAATTTGTCAAAAAACCAACAAATCTCCACCTTGGCAAATTCCACACACATCTCTCAAAAATCCAATCTTCAGTAGCGTCTGCAAATTCATCTTTCAATTTGTAACAATATTGACAAAGTCTAAACAATGTTTAAATTTGACCGCAGTTACCACTTTTGTCAACATATCAGTAGGATTCTTAGTGGTCTGAATCTTCTGGATTATGACTCCACCTTCTTCTAGAATCTCTCGTACAAAGTGATATTGAACATCGATGTGCTTCGTCCTTGCATGGTAAACCTGGTTCTTTGCTAAATGAATAGCACTCTGACTGTCACAATGCACTTTGATGTGCTTCTGTTCCATTCCCAATTCACCAAGCAACCCTTGAAGCCAAATTTCCTCCTTCACAGCCTCTCTAACTGCCATATACTATGCCTCTGTAGTAGATAAAGCCACTGTTGACTGTAAGGTGGACTTCCAACTGACTGGTGCCTTTGCAAATGTAAACACATAACCAGTAGTTGATCAACGCTTGTCCAAATCACCTGCATAGTCTGAATCACAATACCCAACTACACACTAACCATCTTGTTTGTCCTGCTGAAAGACCAAACCAACATCTACGGTGTTCAGAATATACCGCAGAATCCATTTCACAGCTTGTCAATGCTCCTTTCCAGGATCATGTATATACATGTTCACAACCCCAACTGCCTGTGAAATATCGGGTCTCGTACACACCATTGCATACATCAAGCTACCAACAGCACTTACATACGGAACCTTTGACATGTATTCCCGTTCTGTATCATCCTTAGGTGGTATGGATGCACCGAGCTTGAAATGAGGAGCAAGAGGTATACTAACTAATTTTGACTTCTTATTCATGCCAAAACATTTTAGTACCTTCCTCATATATTCTTTCAAAGACAAACAAAGCCTCCCCAATTTCTTATCCCTTGATATATCTATGCCTAGAATCTTCTTCGCTTCACCAAGATCATTCATCTCAAACTCCTTGTTCAATTGAGTCTTTAGTTTCACAATTTCTGTCTGACTCCTGGAAGCTATCAGCATATCATCAACATAAAGAAAAAGATATATATAGGATCCATCTTTTAGCTTGCGTAAATACACACAGTGGTCATATTTTATTCTTGTGTACTTCTGCCCTATCATAAACTTGTCAAATCGCTTATACCACTGCCTTGGAGATTGCTTTAATCCGTACAACGATTTTTCTAATTTGCACACCTTCTTTTCTTTTTCAGGAACTTTGAATCCATCTGGCTGGGTCATGTAGATTTCCTCATCCAAGTCTCCATGTAAAAATGTAGTTTTTACATCCATCTGAACTAGTTCCAAATCCAACTGCGCTACCAAAGCCAACAAAATTCTGATAGAGGAATGTTTTACAACTGGAGAAAATACTTCATTATAATCATCTCCCTCCGTTTGAGCATTGCCTTTAGCCACCAATCTTGCTTTGTAGTGGATGTTATTCTTGTCAGAAAATCCATATTTTTTTGCATATACCCACTTGCACCCAATTGCCTTCTTTCCCTTCGGAAGACTAGCTAGTTTCCACGTATGATTCTTTTGAAGGGATTGCATTTCTTCATTCATGGAGATCCTCCACTTTTTATGTTCTGAACTTTGGACTGCTTCATTAAAAGTGACAGGAACGTCATCAATTGCAATTGGTGATGCAAAAGAGACCATATCAGCATAACAAGAAGGTTGTCTAATAGTCATCTTTCCCTTTCTGAGTGCAATTGATTCATGTTGTTGTGGAGGTTCTTGGGTCTGAACATCTTCTTCATCTTACTCTTCTTCTACCATAGGAGAGTTAACATCAGTTTCTTTACTAGCTGGGACAATTCTGCTTCCTTCAAACTCTACCTGTTTGGGAGTTTCATATGTTTGCTCCAATTTTTCTGAAGTCACCTTTCTCAACATGGTAGATTCATCAAAGGTAACATCCATGTTGAAGATTATTTTCTTTGTTTCTGGACACCAAAGACGATAGTCTTTAACACCAGAGGTGATCCCCATAAAGATCGCCTTCTTTCATCTTGGATCCAACTTTGACTCCTTAACATGGTAGTATGCAGTGGAACCAAACACATGTAATGAATCATAATTTGTAGCAGGTTCTCCAAACCTTTTCTATAATGGTTTTTTACCACCAATAGCAGTCGATGGTAAGCGGTTGACAAGGTGATAAGCATAGACCAAAGCCTCAGCCCAAAATTCTTTGCCTAACCCAGCATTAGACAACATACACCAAACCTTCTCCACTAATATCTTATTCATACGCTCTGCCACCCCATTCTGTTGTGGTGTATATTTGACAGTGAAGTGTCTGACAATACCTTCTTCTTCACAGACTTTCAGAAATGAATCATTTTTGTACTCTTCACCATTATCTGTACGGAGACGTTTAATTTTTCTGCCTGTTTGAGTCTCCACCATCTTTTTCCATTTAAGGAAAAATCCTAGCACCTCATCCTTTGTCTTCATTGTATACACCCAAACTCTCCGGGAAAAATCATCAACAAAGGTGACATAATAGTGTGTTCCTCCTAATGAAGTTGTCTTGTAAGGCCCTCATATATCTGAATGAACATAATCCAAAATACCTTTAGTATCATAGATTGTTGATCCAAATTTCACCATCGTTTTCTTCCCTTTGATGCAATGCTCACAAAAAACTAATTTGCAAGCCTGAGCACCGTTCAATAATCCTTGATCTATCAGCAATTTCAAGGATTTTTTACCAACATGCCTCAAGCGCATATACCATAACATGGTTGCTTCTGACTCTTGTTCATCAATAGAAGCTGCCACTACTGTTGTCACAACAATTGTACTACCCAGAAAGTAATACACATTGTTTCTTTTCTGGATTCCCTTCATTATCACCAGTGCACTAGAGATAATCCTCATAATCTCATCTTTTGCCCTCATTTCTAAACCTTTTGACTCTAAGGTTCCCACAGAGATGAGATTTCTCATTAAATCTGGTACATAATGGACACATGTTAAGGTTCTGATTGATCCATTCTGATTCCTCAAGCGAATTAAATCAATCCCAAGTGTGTCAATAGGGGAATTATTTGTTGTGTAGACAATTCCACCTTTTAGTTATTTAAAATCAAATAATCATTCTCTATTGGGGGTCATATAGTGGCTACAAGTTGAATCTAACAACCATGAATTAGAATAGCTGGTTGATGGCATAGCAGCGAATGCGAAATCTGAATATGCATCATCATACTCGACCACATTTGACTCTGAGATGCCTTTCCCCTTTCAGGTTTGCCTTTATTCTTTAGCCTAGGACATTCTTTC